CACCTCCCTAGTGCAAGGTTCTCTTCTGCCTCGCTTGCTGTCTTTAATAATTTAGCCTACACTTTATGCACCTTTATTTATTGCATTAATCAAACTAATTGCATGAACGTAACTTTAATAATTGATTAAAACAATAATTTTATTTTCAATCAAAAGAAATTAAAACCATAAATGTTTGTCCGATTGAATTTTTTTTTTTTTTTTTATTATTATTATTTTTTGTTTTTTGTTTTCGTGTGTTCTTGCTATAAATTTTGTTTAATGTTGTATCGTTTCATGTCAAGTTTATCCAATTTTGAAACGTCCATTAACAACTTGTCTTGTTTTTACAAGTATCTGATTCCTTTTGGAACATTAGTTGATTAGGATGTTTTGAGGATTCGTTTGGAGGAGTTGGCGGCGCTATAAATATGTAATAAATGTGTTAAAATACACATTTTAGTATTAATACACAAAAATTCACAATTAGTCAGACAGTTATTTTATTTGAAATTAATTACAAATACCCTCATTAAATCCCTAGTGACCCCCAAACCCAAGGTCGAGAACCACTCATTCTGTCAATAAACTTTTTTGAAAAATTAAATTAGTCCGATCATTTTTTTAAAAACATTTAATTAAAACGGAAGAACCACTGAAGCCATCAAAGTTTATACACTCAAAAAGGACCACTAATTGTAAATACAAATTAAATTATTCCACAACAAAATCATTCATTTGAAAACCCATCATACCACAAAGCCACTCATTAAATATACCTTTAAAATTACCACACTACAAGAGATTTATTTAAAAAGCAAACTAATTTATTAAACACAAATTAAATTATCAAAAATCATCCCAGAACAAGACAATTATAAATTTTTTTTTAAAATTTTTTTTTTAACTTTCCACAAAGGGAGATTATTAATTAAAATGCATATTAAAAATAATACGTCGATTACCCTCCCTTAATGACCTTCTCCAACATCCTACATTTTAATTGCGTCTCCAATGCCTTCACTATACTACCTGAAAGGCACCTACTATACTAATTACGTTCGGTTGCTAGGAGCATACGTTAGGGTGTTAGGAGGATAGATGAGATTGTTAGGAGGATAGATGAGTTTGTTAGGAGGATAGACGAATGGGTAGGAGGATATTTAAGGACGGTAGGTTGAAAGGTGAGATTGGTAGGATGGCTGTGAGAATGGTCAATCGGATAGGTGTGGTTGGTAGGAGTAGAATTGGGGTTATCAGGCGGACTGGTGAGGTCAATAGGAGGATGGGTGATGTTGGTAGGAGAATAAGAGAGGTTGGTATTACGGGGAAAGAATGGAAAAGAGGTTGACTCGACAGGTATTGGTTGTAAAGGAAAGGTTTGCATATTTGTTGCAGTTCAAAGGGTTTTGGTGGGCCGAATGCAGTCTTACTGGGAAGTTTTGGAAGGTATTGGTGTTCGTGGAAAATTGGGATCAGTGAAAAAAATGGTTGTCGAGTGAAGGGCGTGTTTAAAGGAATATTCTTTCTTTCCTTCGGTATAAAAACGTGGAAATCAAAACCCCAGCAACACTTGCGAAGGTAAAGTGGTTCAAAGGGGGGTGATCCAATCCGGGCAGAAATTTCTTTCCTTTATAAAAAGTGTTGACCGCTTGAGCGACAACATTATAGGCCCGCCCGACGTGTCTAACCCTAGCTACGCCCTTTCCTGGCAGACTGATTAAGGTTAAATAAAAGGAACATTTGATGTTATTTCCCCCCACATCTTGGAACTTGGCCAAGCTACTTCTAAGGAACAACATTATAGGCCCGCCCGACGTGTCTAACCCTCGCTACGCCCTTTCCTGGCAGACTGATTAAGGTTAAATAAAAGGAACGTTTGATGTTATTTCCCCCCACATCTTGGAACTTGGCCAAGCTACTTCTAAGGAAATAATTCCCTTTATTACCCTTATTACCCCTTATTACCCTTATTACCCTACTTCTAAGGAAGTGTGTTCTGATGATTCCAAACTGGTCTTACACTGTAGATGTCGTACATCAGTAACTGTCAAGTTTCAGCGCGAAGGATGATGGGAAGTGGGTCAGTTCTGAAGATTTTGCCACCTTAAAGACACACACAAATGCGAGGTTAATATAAGATAAGATAAGATTCTTTTATTGATCCAAATAAATGGAAATGCTTTTTGATTGCTTTATACATTTTCAGCACAAAAATAAAACAATTTGAACACAAGACATTTATAATAAATTATTTCAAACAGCCATTCAGTGATTTCTCTTAGCAAAATCGGGGAATTATTAGTTCTCATTCAGATGTGTGACTTCAGAGGAAGCGCGCCTGTAAATTCGTACAGATTGGGGAACAAAAGAATTTTTATATCGGTCAGTCCTCGCCCTGATGGAAAGAATTTGTCCCGAACGGCCCGATCCTAAGTATCTGTGATGAAGAGAGTGGGATGTATCATCCAAAATGTGTTTAGTTTTGCAAAAACATCTTTCTTCAAATAGTTCTTCAAGTAAATGATGTTTAGTTTGTGTTATGTTTCTAGCTTTCTTGATTAGTCGCTTTATGCGGTGTTTAATAACAGACGTTGAATTCCCACACCAGCAGGTAATACTGAAATTAAGCAGGCTTCCAATAGTTGCACTGTAGAATAAGATAACGACTAATTGCTTGTTTACGCCGAAATTGTACAGTTTTTTGAGGTAGAACAGTCTTTGGTTTTAAAGGATTTTAAAAAAATAATGAGCATTTATTTGCTATTAATGAACAAAATTCTCAAGTGATAATACATCCACAATTATAATAAAGAAAGCATGTATTTAATTTAGATATAGCCCTGTCTTTTAAATAAAATTTTAATTCATCCATTTCAAAAGTGTGTTTACGAATGAACAGAAACTCAAATTAAATAAATAATTTTTTTATATCACCTGGAATTTATCCTGCGTGGCCATGTACTGCCCGCGGGCCGTGGGTTGTCCACCTCTGTCTTAGTATATAGGGACTCACTTTTTAAACAGTTAAACACAACGCTAGTGTGGTTATTTAATTAAAGCTCACCAGTTTATATCATAGGTCACTGTCATTGCCATCATTATAAACTCTCACTATAACATCTTAGTTCATCATCATTATTAATACCATCTTTTTCTTGTTTCCCATAAACTTTTGGATTTTATTCCCCACCTCCCACCCCCCAATTTAATATTAAATTCTCATGATACACCGTACATGAAGCAATAAAGACAAAGGGTTTAACATTTTAAAATATGTTTCCATTTATTTCATTCATAAAATATGAACTGCCCTTTGATCTTATGTAAAAATCATAAAAAAATAAATAGATCACCTGAAATAATTGCATGATGTTACAATTTGCAATATGAGAGAATATACACAACATATCAACTAGTTTTCATAGTGTCGCTGGCTGAGAGGTTCACTTACATGTTGGTAGTGTGTGACATATTGGTACAGGTTCTTGTGTCCCTAAGTTTGCGGATTATTGGTACAACTTTATATGTTGGTAGTGTGTAACTTATTTGTACTAACTGAAATGTTGGTAGTGTGAGACTTACTGTGACAAGTTCATATGTCAGTAGTGTTTGGCTTAGTGGTTACAAGTTCAGGTGATGGTAGTTTATGAGATGTGAGAGCTCAAGTGCAGATGTAAAAGGACATCCAAGTCATTAGGAATGTGGGCCAGAGATTAGCATAAACGTGAGATCAACAATAGACATATCACGTGAGATCAACAACAGACATATCACGTGAAGTGAGGTGTAGAAAACAATCACGTGATTGAAAGTCACGTGGTGTTGACACAAAGTCCCATGAAAGAAGATGTGTTTGGGAGGACAGATCCTTGAGAGGACCATCCTCATGTGAATAGGATCCGAGGTTAATAAAGTTCCCATTAAGAGGACAGGGCTCCAGATTTCGGTAAGGGTGTGCTAGCGGGGAGGAGGGGTGGGGGGTGATGGTGAAATACCGAAGTTTCATTTAACAATTTCTACATATAATTTATTCACATCATATTTTGATTGACCTTTGGTTCCACTATTTATTTATTTATTTATTTAGGCATTTTTATATAGCGCTTACCATAAAGCTCTAAGCGCTTTACAATTATTAAAAACATGTAAACTAAGTAAATAAAAATGAGACACTAGGATAGTAAGTACTATACTATAGAAACAGTGAAAATGGCTATAAAACGAGGACACTTTGACACGTTTTGGCCTATACTTCAGGATCAACCCGAAACAGAAAATGAGGCAGGGCAAGGAGGGTGCATCACAGGTCATAGGCGGACCTAAACAGATGAGTTTTAAGGGACTTTTTGAAAATGGACGAGGTTTCACAATGACGGATATGGAAGGGGAGCTGGTTCCAGAACGTGGGCTCGAATAACGTCACTAGTGACGTGATGCTTCAACCTCTTCACTACTTCACGTCACGCTTCAATAGCTTCAATAGCGAAGCCACGCTTCATTTGCTTCAATTCCTTGTTGCTGGCTGGTTAGGTGCTCGTGTGTTAATTTGTTGTTGGACAATCGCATATAATGACACAGTCACAGATTGATACAATGGGAAGAAATCAAATACACAAAATATATGGTAAAAACTGGGCAATTACCATTATTACAAGTTTAGAGCAAGTCATCTTAACAAAACAACAGCATGTCTAAAACATCGTATATTAATAGTCAAGATTTTGAACTTTTCTTAAAATAAACATTATTATCCATTGTTTACTGAAGTACACATATGTTATTTCTCAAAACTTTAAAAAAAAAAAATACTTTTTACAGAAACTGCTTTAAAAAATAGTATAGATTATAGATCATCCAATGTAAAGTGGTACAAGAATATACTACAACCTAATTTACTAGCTCGACCACTCCACAACAATGACGTATATTTACTTGTGCGTCTGTGTGGGTTGGGGGGGGGGACTAGGCCTAGTAGAGTAAATTGAAAAGGATGTATAGACTCTTTATATGATGCCGCTAATGGTGTGACCTTTCAATTTGGTTGGGGGGCCACCATCCCCCACACCTTCATTTTTTTTTTCAATAATTAATATTTAAACCACCATCAAAAAAAAAAATCATTGTTAATTACGTCAACGTCGACACCACCTATTCATCATGATTTTTTTTCCCCCCACAAACGATAACTCTCAAAACCAAATTGTTTAAACATTCCCCACTAAAAGTACGAAGGCAAAACAATTACAAGAACATGTCAATTCAATAAAACACGAGTCTTAGGAGAGACGTCACGCCGATACCCGTCATGATATTTCTTAAATGAGTGTGGCGGGGCGAGGGGGCAGTGTTGAAGCTGGCCGCCAGAGGGCACGGGTTGGTGAACCCGGGCACGTCGCTGCAGACTTCGTCTATCGTCTGCATCTTGAGGACCGAGTAGGTTCTCTGAAACGGGAAGTTTGGATTTATTTTAGATTTTTTAGATATATATTTTTTAATCTATTAATATAAAATAACATGACTCACGTACAGGAATTGAGTGCTTAGGTGCTATGTCCCACACAGCTATCAAGTGTTGACATAGCAACACTCTTCATGATATTGTTAGAAATAGCTAATGCTTTCACTTGCTTGTATGTTGTCGTTTTGAGCGTCTCCATTAAATAAATATTTTTTCTTTCCACCCAGTATTCACTTGTTAGAACACACCTAAATTCTGTTTTTTTTTTGTGCTCATTAAATGGACTTAATTGCATGTCTTGTTAGAACACATCTAAATTCTGTTTTTTTTTTTTTTGTGTTCAATAAATGGACTTAATTGAATGTCTTGTTTTAACACATCTAAATTATGTTTTTGTTTTCAGTAAATGTACTTAATTGAATTTCTTGTTATTCTTTTTTTTTTTTGTGCTCATTAAATGGACTTAATTGCATGTTTTGTTAGAACACATCTAAATTCTTTTTTTTTTTTTTTTGTGTTCAATAAATGGACTTAATTGAATGTCTTGTTTTAACACATCTAAATTATGTTTTTGTGTTCAGTAAATGTACTTAATTGAATGTCTTGTTAGAACACATCTAAATTATGTTTTTGTGCTTAATAAATGGACTTAATGGAATGTCTTGTTAGAACAAATCTACATTCTGTTTCTGTGTTCAATAAATGAACTTAATTGAATGTCTTGTTTTAACACAACTAAATTATGTTTTTGTGTTCAGTAAATGGACTTAATTGAAAATCTTGTTAGAACACATCTAAATTATGTTTTTTTGTTCAATAATGGACTTAATTTAATGTCTTGTTAGAACAAATCTAAATTCTGTTTTTGTACTCAGTAAATTTACTTAACTGAATGTCTTGTTAGAACACATTTAAATTCTGTTTTTGTGCTAAATAAATGGACTTAATTGAATGTCTTGTTTGAGCACATCTTAAGTCTATTTTTTCCTCAGTAAATTAACATGATTGAATTTCTTGTCTGAACATGTCTAAGGTCTGTTTTTTTTGTGCTCAGTAACTGGATATAATTGAATATCTTTGATTAACTTTCTTCCTTTTCATTTCTACACAAGAGAAAATACTCTCTGAATTTAATGTCACAGAGAAAGTTGAATGAAATTCCCCTTACTATGGCAACCGTGCTTTATCTTTGTGTGAATTGAACACGCAAAGACCCATGTAATGACCCATGGGATGACCCATGTAATGACCCATGGGACGACCCATGTAATGGCCCATGGGACGACCCATGTAATGACCCATATGACGACCCATTTAAGAACCCATATGACGACCCATGTAAAGACCCATGTAATGACCCATGTAATGACCCATGTGACGAACCATGTAATGACCCATGTAATGACCCATGGGACGACCCATGTAATGACCCATGTAATGACCCATGTAACGACCCATGTAATGACCCATGTAACGACCCATGTAATGACCCATGTAATGATCCATGTAATGACCCATGTAATGATCCATGTAATAACCTATGTAATGACCCATGTCATAATGAAGTGTTAGTTGTTTTAATCAATTACCATTTTGGCGAAGCCGTCATTTTGAGCACGGAACCACGTGACACCAACCAGTTCAGTCAGGTTCCAGGCTTCTAGAACTGATTTCAGGCGGATTTGGCAGCTGTAACGATAGTCATGTGTTTCTAACTTCATCAGTACTTAGTTCACAGTTGTTGTTGTTGTTTTTTTTTTTTTGTTAACGTTTCTTATCTTAATACACGATACTGTCAAAATGTGTTAAAATATGTCTAGAAACAAACTGTAAAGGGTATCTATACAATACTGGATATATTATATATATCTATATCTATATCTATCTATCTATCTATCTATTTATTTATTTATATATATATATATATATATATATATTCCTTTAATTCCTCAATTTATTTTGCAATAAAAGAATGCGTTATTATTATTTAGACGTTCATAAACTTACTAATCCCGCCCATCCCCTCGTAATGGAAACAAGAAAAGAGTTCACCTCAATGAACTCTCCCAGTCACTCTCTTCTAGTCACTCTCTCCCAGTCACTCTCCTCCAGTCACTCTCTCCCAGTCAGTCTCTCCCAGTCGCTCTCTCCCAGTCACTCTCTCCCAGTCGCTCTCTCCCAGTCGCTCTCTCCCAGTCGCTCTCTCCCAGTCGCTCTCTCCCAGTCGCTCTCTCCCAGTCGCCATCTCCCAGTCGCTCTCCCCCCGNGATCCATGTAATGACCCATGTAATGATCCATGTAATAACCTATGTAATGACCCATGTCATAATGAAGTGTTAGTTGTTTTAATCAATTACCATTTTGGCGAAGCCGTCATTTTGAGCACGGAACCACGTGACACCAACCAGTTCAGTCAGGTTCCAGGCTTCTAGAACTGATTTCAGGCGGATTTGGCAGCTGTAACGATAGTCATGTGTTTCTAACTTCATCAGTAAGGTTAAGCCTTTAGGATGATTCCTACAAAACACGGAATGATATTATTTAATGTTATCTTTGAAAATGTCTAAAATAATCATCTTTACATTCTTTCCAGAAAATAAATGTATGAACTTTCTGCCGAGACCTCCCCCCCCCCCTTTACAATCCCCCTCAGCCATACGCACGCTTAAGTGGATGGTCCATTAACTATACTTATATCCATCCATGCTTTTATCCATGCTCTTCCTTTTCTTCCGTTTCCATGTGGCACTTAAGTGGGAAAAGGGGGGGGGGGTAATAATTACCACAAAATTCCAAGGCTGAGCATCAAACGGCTAACACACTCACACACAAGCAACTGCAGGCAAAGAAACACCATGTTGGTGGAATACCAAGTGCGCATGTCTCTTTGAGGCGTGGCTCTAAGTTTGCTAGGGTAATCTCGAACCAAATAAGATGGTCACAGACAGATGCGCACGAGGGATTATCATCAAGGAGGGATTATTTGTAGATACGTTGTGGTCCCAAGAGTTGCAGACACTTGGTTCGCGTTTCCTTAAATCTTTCGGGCAAGACTATGTGGTGTTGATCTACTGGGGGTGGTGGTATTTCTGTTTGGAAGGGGCGTGGGGCGTTTATATTAAGATTAAAAGCTTCCTGGGGTCAACAAACTAAACGTTTTAGCTATTAGCAGTGGCTTAAACGGGCTGTCTCCTGTGATACTTAAAATATTCAGGCTAAGCGATTTGGGGTTGGGGGGGAGGGGGGAAGGATGTCTTCTCAGGCGGATATATCTTTAGGTGGTCTAAGGGCTCGTGCCTTAGCGAAATGTTGAAAGTTGAATCGTCTACTTTCAGTCGTAAATATTCAACTTCACTTCAAGTGAAACTTTACTGCGTGTGACTTTTCTTTTAATTTTACCGCCCACTTCTACCACCCCCACCCCCCACCCCCACCCCTACCCCCCACACACACACACTCTTTATTTTCTATTTTTTTTAAAAACCCGTCATCTGTTATGTTCGTCAGCCGTGCTCGGGGGCGTGGCAAGGGTGGGGGCGGATGGGGCAGTTCACCCCCGGGGGCGGCGCTTTTAAAAAAAAAAATTGTGGACGGGGGCATTTTTGGTCAATTCAGTGGCGTGGCAAAATTGTTGTCCGCCCCGGGGTGGCACTAACCCTAGCTACGCCACTAGTCTTACTGAGGAGTCAAAGCTGTTTTGTATGATATCAAATCTCAGAGTTCTCGGGTGGGTTACCGGGAGATTAAACGGTGCGTTGAATTTTTAAAAAAATGCATTGATGATGAATTGGTGGGATTGTGATTGCAGGTACTCACACAACTCATATATGATTGTGACTGAAAGTACTCTTGCATCTAGAGAATGATTGTGGTTTGAACGTGGCCCTATACATTTGGTATAATTGTGTTTGAAGGTAAATCTACAAATAAGGAATAAATTGTGATTGGAAGTACTGTTAAACCTATGGTATGATTGGAAGTATCGTTAAGCCTGTGGTGTGATTGGAAGTACTGTTAAACCTACTGTATTATTGGAGTACTGTTAAACCTACGGTATTATTGGAGTACTGTTAAACCTAGGGTATTATTGAAAGTACTTTAAAACCTACGGTATGATTGGATTCGGCCCAAAGTACTCTGACAGCTCGTCTCCGGTAGTGGCATCACCGTTCCGAATGTTGGTCACCAGCCAGTGGGTGAAGAACAAAGGGTCAGTTTGACCTTGGTCGACAGATGGCGCCACGTCCACCATGAACAAGGTGTAAGTGAAACCTGTGGGTGGGGGGGGGGAGACAAAATGATTGTCTTGATAGTTGCATGAATGAAAGCCACGTGCAGATTTAATGTGTAAAAAAAATCTCCTCCGAAATTCGTTTGATGAAACAAGATTGAAGTCGGATATAGTGTCCTCTCTAAGAGATGTTAAGGAACATGACGTTTAATATTTATCTTTAATGACACATTATCGCTTAAAATAAAAATAACAGATTTTACAAATGGGAAAAAGAAGAAAGACTTTTTTTGTTTCAGATCATCACTCTTTGTAACTTTACCATGTACTTTGTAAGTGCGGCAAAAGTCAATACTGCTCAATAATCTGAGTCTCTGGTTTAATCTCGACTTCAACGAACTGTGTTTAAGAAGTTCTAAACTCACGGTATACTTAGGGATACTTAGGTATACTTAGGGATACTTAGGGATACGTATCAGGTGTTTTATAACAGAAGACGTATTGGGAAATTAACAGCAAGTGTCTCAAGACACAACGTCTAGACGTGTGTAGTTGACACCAAGTGTCTCAAGACACAAGGTCTAGACGTGTGTAGTTGGCAGCTAGTGTCTCCAAACACAAAGGTCTAGACTTGTGCCGTTAACTCATGCAAGTGTCGTTACATCATTAAGGGCAAGACTTATTGAATAATTAAGTATGAAGTTCTTAAAACAAAAGGTCTAGACTCATTGTAAACTAAACAAGTATCTTAAAGACGCCATGTCTGGAACTGGGCAACGGAATGCAAGTGTTTTAAGACATCATGTTTAAATGTGCACAACACTGAATCAAAACACCGACAAAACACCGACAAACGAGCCTGAAATGGTGTAGTAAGTTGAACACCTCACGAACCTCTGAGATCGCTTCCTTCCTTCATGTTGATAGGAGAGATTTGAACCCGGGGCACCAGCCTTGCCGTGCCTGGACGAACGGGACGGTCGTTGAACGGATCGACGCTGAACATTCCGCCACTGTGGGGCACAAAAACACAATATGTGAGCATGGCGTAAGCACATTAACAGATTTGTAACAGATAGTAATACTGTTCCAAACGCAGTAACAACGTTAGAAACTATTTGTTACAACATCATTGATGTAATGGAAGATTTGTTACTCCCAACCTGCCACAAATGTGTACGCATCGTTAACGTGTGTACTTGAACATGGGTACATTTCAATAGGTGCGTACGCGAACACATGATACAATATTAACGTTATGGATTATTTTTACAATTTTACTAATATTATGGACTATTTTTTACACCTGCAGTAATATTATGGACTATTTGCTACACCTGTAGTAATGTTATGGACTATTTGTTACAACAGTACTAACATTATGGAATATTTGTTACAGCGGTGCTCACGTTATGGAATATTTGTTACAGCGGTGCTCACGTTATGGAATATTTGTTACAGCGGTGCTCACGTTATGGAATATTTGTTACAGCGGTGCTCACGTTATGGAATATTTGTTACAGCAGTACTCCGTCTCGAAGTCGTCCGTTGAGTAGATCACGTGAAGGTTGGCGGTGAGTAAAGGGAAGTCAGTCGTGTTATCGGCCAGGGAAGGCCTGCCACCCCAAACCAGTGACACATTAGTGGACGTGATGAGACTTTGGAGTGCTGTTGTTATTTAGCGGGTTCAGGGAAAGAAAATGAAATGTAATTTATTAATAATCTTGATTTATGTTTTAATTATTGAAGACAAAATTGGCATGATTCCGAGCAATGATTTCAGAAAGTGGCCCGGGAAAGCGAACGCCTACCTGGCATACGCGAGACGAGAAGTGGACAGTTGTCCAGTAGCAGCTTCTCCTTCTGGGACTGGACAGAGTAAGGGTCGGCCTCCAACGAGAGTATGTTCACGTGACTCGGCCCTGGAATTTGATAATCAGATCACGTGATCAACATGTTTTGTTTGATTTGAGGGAGGTCAACTATGACGTAACATATAGTTCAAGTGTGACATTTTCTTGGATTGAGTCTTAACTCATTCCTTTTTTTTTTTTTTTATTAATTAGAAAGTGATTTAAAGGAACAGATAAGATAAGTTAAGATAAGATAAGACTCTTAACTGATACAAATAAAAGGACACATTTTGTATTACATTGTACATATTTAATTTCTGCCCATAAATTAAATAAATACATATTTTTAACCAAGACAAGATTTGACCATTACAAAAATTTAAACACATGACATCTAAAGTATTTCTCTGGCAAAGAAATCAGCCATTCTATGAACTCCACCAGTGACAATGCTGACTTAATTAGTGATCATTTAGCTTTGGTAATCGCAGGGAGGGGGGGGGGAGCAGGCTGGTAATTTTTATACCGACTGGGGGAGCAAAGAAATTATTATTTAGCGAGTTGGAAACCATTTTAAGGGGCTTGCATTATAGGAAGAACTAAAGTCTCTTATTTAGTTTTATGTTAAAAGGCTTTCTGCTGTAACCTCCGTACTATTGCTTGCTCATCCTTCGGGTTTTCCCTTACGGTATCTGGGTATAGCTCTTAATTTTTTGAATGAATATGCTTCGTTTTCTTTTGTGAGTATTTCAATGGTCCACTGCTTCAAGAATTATTGGTTGTCCACAATTTAAATGTTTTTGGAGCGTTATAAAACACATCACTGTTTCTCGATTTTTAATATGAAATTGTCAATTTCCGGGGTGGGGCGGGGGAGTATTTTGAATTCTTTTGATGATACATTTTTCTTAACTTGAAGACATTGAAAATTATTTCTTTAGATTTTTTTCCTGATTTTTAATTTGGTTACATATATTTTGTATCGGTAGTGGGTGGGATTTCAAATAGATTCCACGCTTTTCTGTATCTTAGTACCAACATTTATCTTATATCGGAAACTGTGTACCGTTAGAATTTACAGTGAAAGGTTGTCAGCATAAGGGTCGTAAGTATAGGTGAAGTGAAGAGTTGACTTACTGCTGGCCAATGACCCGGCAAGATCACGTGACCATTCCGACGGCGCAAACTTGCCCTGGTTGTGGTTCACGTTCGTCTGCAGGGCTTGGAGAACTTGGGTCTCATTCAGTCTCTCCGTTTGAGGATACACGAGCACCAGGTAAGGGTTGTCTCCCGGTGAGGGGTTCTCGGGCCCCGTGTAGTTGCTCACAACCTGCCACAAATGTGTACGCATCGTTAACGTGTGTACATGAACATGGGTACACATCAGTAGGTGCGTACGCGAACGCGTGATACGAAAGTCAGTTTGCATAAATGTGTAGACATAGATGTACGCCATAAGCGCACATGAACGTGATGGCACATGTAATTGTCAAGTACACAGTTGACATTGTGCACACCAGCATCGCAAACTTAGGCTTAGTTGTTATTGAGTGCACATGTAGTTTTCAAGTGCACAGTTGACATTGTGCACAGCAGCATCGCAAACTTAAGATTAGTTGTTATGTCACTTAGACCCTGTTCAGAGAGTGGTGTAGGATATAGCGTGGGTGCGCATGCGTGTCCTGCATTGTTGGCGTGCCCATGTCGTGGTTCTGTATCCGCCAGTGCCCAGCGGAGGGGCGGATGACGTCACAGGTGTTATGACCTCAATCAACCCGGATCTGCACTGGTTAGCCCCCATCTCGCAAAACATAGACACCATAACAACAACCAAAAAAAAATAACAATATATTTCTTGATACATAGTAAACGAAGACGACTCACTACAAACACACAATGGTTACATATAAAAATAGTGACTACTAAACATACGCGTCACACCACATAATAATTTAAACAGTACTGAACTACAAAATACAGCAAGAGATACGGCAACAGAATGCAGCAAAAAATACAATTACAGCAACAAATACAAATGCAGCCACAAATACAACAATTACAGCAACAATTTCAGCAACAAAATAAAGCGACAAAATACAGCGAAAAAATACAGCAACAAAAAAATACAACGACAAAATATAAACACGAGAGCGTCATAAATAACCAAGACAAACCACAAGCTTTACGTTAAACTCAAACTTAAGTCTAATTTTTTGAAAGTCTAATTCTCAGGTACCTCCACCCCTCTCACACCCGCCCCAAATGCTCTAAATTTAAAGTAAGAGCCACCCTAGTCACGCCCATTCTCAAGCACTTACAGTTCCAGAGTCCAGCGCCCCCCTGTTGCAGTTGATGTACAAGCCGTGAAGGTTGAACTGACCAGCGTCCCACACGAGCACCGTGTACAGCGTCTGGTTGTTGACCACGTCCCAGGCCACCAGCGGGACGCTCCTCAGGGACCAGCTGATGACGGTCGTCGTGTACAGGGGGTCGACCATGTAGTTGGACACAGCCGGGATGTGGAACTCGTGACCGCAGGCGAAGACGGAACCTGGTTGGGGAGGAGAGTATCCTTTTAAGACAGGAAATAGCGGAACAAGGTATGTCGAAGCTGGAAAGGGAAAAGGAAGTGGTGGAACAAGGTATGTCGAAGCTGGAAAGGGAAAAGGAAGTGGTGGAACAAGGTATGTCGAAGCTGGAAAGGGAAAAGGAAGTGGTGGAACAAGGTATGTCGAAGCTGGAAAGGGAAAAGGAAGTGGCGGAACAAGGTATGTCGAAGCTGGAAAGGGAAAAGGAAGTGGCGGAACAAGGTATGTCGAAGCTGGAAAGGGAAAAGGAAGTGGCGGAACAAGGTATGTCGAAGCTGGAAAGGGAAAAGGAAGTGGCAGGACAAGGTATGTCGAAGCTGGAAAGGGAAAAGGAAGTGGCAGAACAAGGTATGTCGAAGCTGGAAAGGGAAAAGGAAGTGGCGGAACAAGGTATGTCGAAGCTGGAAAGGGAAAAGGAAGTGGCGGAACAAGGTATGTCGAAGCTGGAAAGGAAAAGGATGACTTGTCGACTTAGAGCCTTTTTTTTAGCAGAAAGGGCAAACAAGAAATTACAAGAAATAGAAAAGAGTTTTAAAAAACTTAAGTGTTTTGGGGTTTGGAGTTCGCCATATTGGATGGGTCATGATATGTTAGTAATATGAATGAATGTATGCAATTTAAAACATAATATTGGATTGGTGTTTTGAGGGAACAGCGTTGTTGATATTTGCCTTTTGGTGCGTTGTACGTGACGAAGGCCAGCTTGACCGCCTGGACATTGGTCACCAGCGCCGTCCCGTCGCTGACGTCACTGAGGCCGAACAACCTGGACGCGATGGATGAACGGGTCGGGTCTGGGTTGGCGCAAGCTGGGGTTGATCGTAACTCCTGTGGGACAGGTCAGACACATTGGTTAGCATTCCATTTGTTAGCACGCTATTTGTTAACCCTCTCCTTGTTAGCATTGTATTTGTTAATATTCTATTTGTTAACATCCCATTTGTTATCTTCAATTCTTAGAGCGCATCTAACTTGCAGCGCGTTAACTTGCTGGGATAAGATCATTTTCATTGACAAATAATGAGTCTCTATGTAAGTACGTGTGTGTTTTTTATGTAATGTGTGTCAGTGTGTATGTATGGCTGTAGCTCTGTGTTCAATAGGCGCTAAAAATAACATTTCCGGACGTCGGCACTGATTGGTGAGTTTGTACAATCTGCTTCACTTGAATGCATTAGTTTGTCAAGTTTCTGTAATAGATGGATAGTACACGCATCGCCGCCTCCAATGTTTGGCGAGTTATTTCTACTAGCCATAACATTATAATCTCACCATAATCACAATATATAAAAATCGATTTATATATTTTTTTTAAAACATAAATATAAATGATTCCGAAACAGGGGTAAAGGGTTGGGGGAAGAAAGGTGGGGGGGGGGGGGTCTCATAATGAGTAACATGTATTTATTTTTTTTTCGATGACACCAATCCAATGAAAATTAATTTAGTAAGAGATGATCACACCCATCACCATTCACTAATAAGCTTACAGATATTCGTTGCTACTTGTCAGCTACCGATAACAAAGGAGAATGGCAAACATCATGTCAAGAAATAGGGGGCGTCGAAGAGCTAGTTTGTTTTGATGCGCCCACCCCCCCAACCTCCCCCATACCACCACCCACCACCAAAACAAAAAAAACAAAAATTAACAGCATATCACGTGACAGAACTTACGACCGGACAGCTAACATTGTAGTCGGATCCGAACCAGAAACGTCTTGTGTCCACTAAGAGCTGTCTCATACTCCTGACGCACGTGATCTGGTCGTCATAGCACGACCTTTGACCTGGGTGGGAATAAAAAAACAAATCCTTTATTTTAGAAGAAAAAATAATCTAAACATTTACTCTATAGTGGCGTCTTATTATGTATTTGATTTTCTTTCATAAAATTTTATTGTTGTTTCGACCGTCATCCCACAATTTTAGTCGATACTTACGTGGGCATTTCTCCACGTAACTAAAGATTGCTCCACGTGACTTAAGATGGCTCAACATGACTAAAGATTGTTCCAGGTAACTAAAGATTGCTCCACCTGACTAAAGATTGCTCCACGTGACTAAAGATTGTTCCACATGACTAAAGATTGCTCCACGTAACCAAAGATTGCTCCACGTGATTAAAGATTGCTCCACGTGACTAGAGATTGCTCCACGTGACTAAAGATTGTGTGACGTGACTAAAGATTGCTCCACGTCAGTAAAGATCGTATACATTTTCGAGGTAAGTATAAATTTCTCCGGTAAGTATACATTTCCCTGGTAAGTATAAATTTCCCAGGTAAGTACAAATTTACCAGGTAATTATAAATTTCCCATTTAAATATACTTTTCCAATTTGAGTATAGTTTCCCATGTATGTAATTATTTCTCTTTTTAAGTATACATTTCCCAGTTAAGTCTTTATTGTCCATTTAAGTTTTCATTTCCTATTGTATGTATTTATCGCCTATGTAACTATCCATTTGCCATTTAAGTACAGACAACCGATATAGCATACATTTCTCATGTAATTATTTCTTGCCAATGTAAGTATACATTTGTCAATATGGGTATAGATTTCCAAAAGGAAGTAAACATTTCTCAATGTGGGTATAGATTGCCCAAAGTTAGTAAACAAATTCAAAGACAATTGCCAATACTCACAATTTTGGCTCCGAACGAGAGAATGAAGAGAAGGGTAGGGGGGGGGGCAGCTTGTCTGGTCTTAAGCTTACGTAAAATATCTATTTATAGCCGCGGCGTCGCTACAACACTGCACATTGAGACCTTCAATGAAATAGTTCACAATATCGAAGTATAATACTATAGACCAGGGGTCGGGAACCTATGGCTCGCGAGCCAGATGTGGCTCTATTGATGGCTGCATCTGGCTCGCAGACTAATGTTCGATGATAAAAAAAAGTCGCATTAATGGTAATAAATACTCATTATTGATTAGCAACAGCATAACAATGTTATTAAAAAGAATTCAGAGACATAATTATTGCATTTTAGGGTTGAAATTACACAAAATGCGCACATTTACTTGAATTTTTAGTTTTAAACATAATGTATGACTCTCACAGAATTACTTTTCGAAATATGTGGTGTCCATGGGTCTCTCGGACAAAAGGGTTCCCGACCCCTGCTATAGACTATAGGGCATAGGGTCAAAGTGCATCTGGACATGAGATCCATAAATAATGAGGTTTGGCTTTTTTTTTTAAAAAAAATTCTGCCGTTCAGACAAAACATTCAGACAAAATATTCAGACAAAACATTCAGACAAAAGGTACAGACAAAAGGTTCAGACAAAATGTTCAGATAAAATGTTCAGACAAAATGTTCAGACAAAATGTTCAGACAAAATGTTCAGACAAAATGTTCAGACAAAATGTTCAGACAAAAGGTTCAGACAAAATGTTCAGACAAAATGTTCAGAATAAATGTTCAGACAAAATGTTCAGACAAAATGTTCAGACAAAATGTTCAGACAAAATGTTCAGACAAAATGTTCAGACAAAAGGTTCAGACAAAAGGTTCAGACAAAATGTTCAGACAAAATGTTCAGACAAAAGGTTCAGACAAAATGTTCAGACAAAATGTTCAGACAAAATGTTCAGACAAAATGTTCAGACAAAAGGTTCAGACAAAAGGTTCAGACAAAATGTTCAGACAAAATGTTCAGACAAAATGTTCATACAAAATGTTCAGACAAAATGTTCAGACAAAATGTTCAGACAAAATGTTCAGACAAAATGTTCAGACAAAATGTTCAGACAAAATGTTCAGACAAAAGGTTCAGACAAAATGTTCAGACAAAATGTTCAGACAAAAGGTTCAGACAAAATGTTAAGACAAAATGTTCAGACAAAAGGTTCAGACAAAATGTTCATACAAAATGTTCAGACAAAATGTTCAGACAAAAGGTTCAGACAAAATGTTCAGACAAAATTTCAGACAAAATGTTCAGACAAAATGTTCAGACAAAATGTTCAGACAAAATGTTCAGACAAAAGGTTCATACAAAACATTCAGACAAAAAAATTCAGACAAAACATTCAGACAAAACATTCAAACAAAACATTCAGACAAAACATTCAGACAAAAGGTTTAGACAAAATGTTCAGACAAAATGTTCATACAAAATGTTCAGAAAAAATGTTCAGACAAAATATTCAGACAAAACATTCAGACAAAAGGTTCAGACAAAAGGTTCAGACAAAAGGTTCAGACAAAAGGTTCAGACAAAATGTTCAGACAAAATGTTCAGACAAAATGTTCAGACAAAACGTTTAGACAAAATGTTCAGACAAAACATTCAGACAAAATGTTCAGACAAAATATTCAGACAAAACATTCAGACAAAACATTCAGACAAAAGGTTTAGACAAAATGTTCAGACAAAATGTTCAGACAAAACATTCAGACAAAACATTCAGACAAAACATTCAGACAAAATGTTCAGACAAAAGGTTCAGACAAAACATTCAGACAAAATGTTCAGACAAAACATTCAGACAAAAGGTTCAGACAAAACCTTCAGACAAAAGGTTCAGACAAAAGGTTCAGACAAAACATTCAGACAAAAGGTTCAGACAAAACATTCAGACAAAAGGTTCAGACAAAAGGTTCAGACAAAACATTCAGACAAAACATTCAGACAAAAGGTTCAGACAAAACATTCAGACAAAACATTCAGACAAAAGGTTCAGACAAAACATTCAGACAAAAGGTTCAGACAAAAGGTTCAGACAAAAGGTTCAGACAAAATGTTCAGACAAAATGTTCAGACAAAACATTCAGACAAAAGGTTCAGACAAAACATTCAGACAAAAGGTTCAGACAAAACATTCAGACAAAACATTCAGACAAAATGTTCAGACAAAAGGTTCAGACAAAACATTCAGACAAAAGGTTCAGACAAAACATTCAGACAAAAGGTTCAGACAAAAGGTTTAGAAAAGGTTAAGACAAAATGTTCAGACAAAATGTTCAGACAAAAGGTTCAGACAAAATGTTCAGACAAAACATTCAGACAAAATATTCAGACAAAACATTCAGACAAAACATTCAGACAAAAGGTTCAGACAAAAGGTTCAGACAAAAGGTTCAGACAAAATGTTCAGACAAAATGTTCAGACAAAATGTTCAGACAAATTGTTCAGACAAAAGGTTCAGACAAAACATTCAGACAAAATGTTCAGACAAAAGGTTCAGACAAAAGGTTCAGACAAAAGGTTCAGACAAAAGGTTCAGACAAAATGTTCAGACAAAATGTTCAGACAAAACATTCAGACAAAACATTCAGACAAAACATTCAGACAAAAGGTTCAGACAAAACATTCAGACAAAAGGTTCAGACAAAACATTCAGACAAAAGGTTCAGACAAAACATTCAGACAAAATGTTCAGACAAAATGTTCAGACAAAAGGTTCAGACAAAACATTCAGACAAAATGTTCAGACAAAAGGTTCAGACAAAAGGTTCAGACAAAAGGTTCAGACAAAAGGTTCAGACAAAACATTCAGACAAAAGGTTCAGACAAAACATTCAGACAAAAGGTTCAGACAAAACATTCAGACAAAAGGTTCAGACAAAACATTCAGACAAAAGGTTCAGACAAAACATTCAGACAAAATGTTCAGACAAAATGTTCAGACAAAAGGTTCAGACAAAACATTCAGACAAAATGTTCAGACAAAAGGTTCAGACAAAATGTTCAGACAAAAGGTTCAGACAAAAGGTTCAGACAAAAGGTTTAGACAAAACATTCAGACAAAATGTTCAGACAAAATGTTCAGACAAAAGGTTCAGACAAAAGGTTCAGACAAAACATTCAGACAAAACATTCAGACAAAACATTCGGACAAAATGTTCAGACAAAAGGTTCAGACAAAACGTTCAGACAAAACGTTTGGTTTGTTGTACAGAAATAAATAAGACTACCCCCCCCCCTCTTTTCCCCCAAAGTTCTTTATAAAACGATTTATCACCGGGAATCCCGGTAGTGTTTTAGATAACGGCAAAACCTCACATCCCGAAACATCTTATTTTAAATTTATTTTCCTAGTCATTCAAAGACGCTTTGATTACAATTTTTAAATGAAACGAGGCACGTTTTGATAAGTTAAAATTTCCTCCGGAAAAAAAATTTAATTCTTTTATCCACCAAGAAGATCGTGCCATCTTGAAAAAAAAATATAATTAAAATAATATCTCTTTCTACCCACGATTTACTTGATCAGTTCAACCTGTCTCAGAAACCAGGGAAGGGAGATGAACATTTTTTGTTCTTTCCAGGATTCGGATATAAAAAGCAACCAAGAAATTGCCTGGACATCCTAATTTACACACACACACTATGTGTATTGTCACGTACTTCAGCCTCATGGCTGCCCAACCACCGCTGCTCCATTTCGTTCTCAGCTATAAGTGCAACACCAAAACACACACACACAACAACAACCTTCTTCGCCTTGACAATAGAAAGAAATTACGCCAACAAACTTGAATGCCGGATTGTTTGCTCTGCCCCACCACGGCCCCCACCAAGGCCTCACGCGTAGAGTACTACAACAGTCGCATATTTTAACACCCTCCCCCCCCCCAAAATGGTGGAGTTGCCGCTGTTCAAATGGGACTTATTTGAGAAGTTCACTTGAAAACTGGATTTAAAATTTGACAATAGAAAGAAAATACGCCAACAAACTTGAATGCCGGATTGTTTGCTCTGCCCCACCACGGCCCCCACCAAGGCCTCACGCGTAGAGTACTACAACAGTCGCATATTTTAACACCCTCCCCCCCCCCCCAAAATGGTGGAGTTGCCGCTGTTCAAATGGGACTTATTTGAGAAGTTCACTTGAAAACTGGAGTTAAAATTTGCGTAACGTCGTAGGCCAAAACAGGACCTTCTTGTGTGTTGTTGCAGGACGGAAATCCTCGGAACAAACACTGCAGTTGTCACGTTCTGTCACGATCTGTCATATCATTGGGTTTCTGGGCAAGAGAGATTTTTTTGTTTACAATAATCATTTTGGGCTTTAAACAAATTATTGAAGCTGCATTATTGTCAAAGTTGAAAGTTCAAACAAGATTTTTTTATCACAACACCCAACTGACATTGCGTATGCTATAGATTGAAATGAGATTTGCTTATCTTACATTGTCTTACAGGATTGTATCAGCGCCCTTAGATTTAAATGGGATTTGCTTATCTTACATTGTCTTACAGGATTGTATCAGCGCCCTTAGATTTAAATGGGATTTGCTTATCTTACATTGTCTTACAGGATTGTATCAGCGCCCTTAGATTTAAATGGGATTTGCTTATCTTACATTGTCTTACAGGATTGTATCAGCGCCCTTAGATTTAAATGGGATTTGCTTATCTTACATTGTCTTACAGGATTGTATCAGCGCCCTTAGATTTAAATGGGATTTGCTTATCTTACATTGTCTTACAGGATTGTATCAGCGCCCTTAGATTTAAATGGGATTTGCTTATCTTACATTGTCTTACAGGATTGTACCAGCGCCCTTAGATTTAAATGGGATTTGCTTATCTTACATTGTCTTACAGGATTGTATCAGCGCCCTTAGATTTAAATGGGATTTGCTTATCTTACATTGTCTTACAGGATTGTATCAGCACCCTTAGATTTAAATGAGATTTGCTCATCTTACATTGTCTTACAGGATTGTATCAGCGCCCTTAGATTTAAATGGGATTTGCTTATCTTACATTGTCATACAGGATTGTATCAGCGCCCTTAGATTTAAATGGGATTTGCTTATCTTACATTGTCTTACAGGATTGTATCAGCGCCCTTAGATTTAAATGGGATTTGCTTATCTTACATTGTCTTACAGGATTGTATCAGCGCCCTTAGATTTAAATGGGATTTGCTTATCTTACATATTATCTTACATTGTCTTACAGGATTGTATCAGCGCCCTTAGATTTAAATGGGATTTGCTTATCTTACATTGTCTTACAGGATTGTATCAGCGCCCTTAGATTTAAATGGGATTTGCTTATCTTACATTGTCTTACAGGATTGTATCAGCGCCCTTAGATTTAAATGGGATTTGCTTATCTTACATGGTCTTACATGATTGTATCAGCGCCCTGAAAGGTAAGTTGTGTGGTTCTTTCTCTGACATTCTTATAACATCTGTAAACTACTCCCCCATCCCTTTCTGTTTTTTCCCCCTCACACGCTACCACACAACCACAGTCACAGTTGATTGAGACGAGCTGCCCACGTGATGACCCATCAGGCCATTCATGGTTAACACGTTCACTAGGCTTGTTAGAGACGAATAGGTTCACAAAATTGTTGGTCATTTTTTATATTTGTTTCCCATTAGCTTTTTGAAGTTGGTAATAAACCGTAAGACAGGTCAGATGCACATCTAGAGTATGGGTAATAGATGGCACAAGCAATCTGGGTACACATTAAAGTTATAAAATTATGCTACTAGACCAGTGGCTCTCAACCTTCTTTAATACCCTTTAATACAGTTCCCCGTGTTGTTGTGACACCCCAACCATAAAATTATTTGCGTTGCTATTTCATAAATATGTGTTTTCCGATGGTCTTAGGCGACCCCTGTACAAGGGTCATTCGACCGCTCAAAGGGGTCACGACTCACAGGTTGAGAACCGTTGTATTAGAACCAAGGCTAAAAAGAAAAATCACACACTTTCGCCCTTTCCCTGTGCCCCACTAACACGTTTCAAGTCGGCATTTCATGCACCCCAATTTAAAAGGCACACGTTGGTAAAATTGAACTGCTTCCCACACGCGCCATTAACTCTAGTTACGCCGCTGGATATATATATATATATATATATATATATATATATATTATATAATAAGTAGATTTGTGAATATACTCAATTTACCTGATATCCCAAATGTCAAGTGGATCAGCACCACACTCGACACCAGCAGTCTCAGCGTGGTAGAATTCCTCTGTCTCCCCATATCCTGGGTCAGAAAAGTGGGTAATATATCCACACACAAAATGATTGGTCAAGTCCTGAGATCAAACGAGTATTTTTATTTCAATGATCACACTACTCCACAGCTTACAACTGGTGAAATCCAGGGGACATCACTTCTGATGATCGCAACCGCGTAATCAGCTTTGAGCCAAATTTCTTCCTTATAAATATCTGTAAAGTTATTTTAGAAACGCATTCAAAATTGTATTTCCTTTTTTTTTTAATGAAAAAGAAATTAAGTGGCACTGAATCGCTTTGTATTTATAGCTTGACACTGCAGAAATGAATGGCAAAGATATATATATTTATATATAGTCTGCCTTGTCACTTGTGCGTCTTTTTAAAAAGACGGAAATAGCCTCGTTTCAAAATGGGTTCAAAAAAGATAGAACGAAACAATTACAGCGGTCTTCCAGATGACTTGAACCACCAAAAAAAAAAAGGGGAGCTAAGCCAAACAATGCTGACGGCCGAGCTTCCATCCAATGTCAGGCTAACACAGGTGTACATTCTGCTGTGTCATTCCGCCGCCGCGCTCACATACCAGGATAGGATGATTGTATCACTACGCGTGCACTTCAGTTTGAGGGGAGGGGGGGAGGGGATGGTCTCACCGCCGTCAATGAAGAGTTGTGGACATCCGGAATGACAAGCACCCCCGGACATCAAAGCCGAAATTAACGCAGAGGGTGACCACGGACAAACAAATCCGGGTTGTGATCTCATTAACTTGAGAACGGACAATGGCTGAGGTCGTAACAAGATCCTTGTTTACGTCACAGGGATAGCAAGTCTTAATCTTTAAAAACAACAACGTCACAGCGTCTGATTTCAAGAAATGAAACTAATTTCGTTTTGAGAGAATTTTAAGCACTCTTTGAAACCATCAGGGTTAAAATCTGAAATATTGTATCATGGCTCAAATTTTAAAATTGAAATGATAAGGCTTGAAGTTTGGATTAGGTTTAATATTTGACTTATTTTCTTGTACTTTTCATTTAATTATGCTAAAGGAACGTTCCTCGTTAGGTGTCAATTTAAATATTCAGATTACATCGGATTACAGATCTCAACATAAAAAATCAAAGTGTAGAGAAGGTGGAGGCGTATAAGTACTTAGGTGTCACCATTAATAATAAGCTAACATGGCATGAGCACGGCCAATGGCTGTATAAAAAATTCAACCAAAGACTGTTCTACCTCAAAAAAACTGTATAATTTCGGCATAAACAAGCAAGTCGTTAACTTATTCTTACAGTGCAACAATTGGAAGCCTGCTTAATTTCAGTATTACCTGCTGGTGTGGGAATTCAACGTCTGATATTAAACACCGCATAAACCGACTAATCAAGAAAGCTAGGAATATAACACAAACTAAACATCCTTCACTTGAAGAACTATTGGAAGAAAAATGTTATTGTAAAATTAAACACATTTTGGCTGATGCTTCACACCCTCCTCATCACAGATACTTAGGATCGCCTCGTTCAGGACGAATTTATGTATCTCAGGGCGAGGACTGAAAGATATAAAAATTACCTTGTTCCTTAACCTGAACTAATTTACCAGAGTGCTCCCCCTGAAAACTCAAATCTTAATGAGAACTAATAAGTGTCTGATATGGTTAAGAGAATTCTTTCATTGTCTATTTTTTTTATTGATTGTCTATTTTTTCACTACTGAAATAATTTAATATAGATGTCTTGTATTCAAATTGTTTTGTTTATGTGCTGAATTTGTACCATGAAATTTAAAAAAAAAAACATGTCCATTTGTTTGGATCAATTAAAGAATCTTATCTTATCTTAACTTATTATATGGTACTTTTCATTTAATTATATGTACTTTTTTATTCTATAGATGGTACTTTTGATAAATTATGTGGTAATTTTCATTTAATCATATGGTACATTTAATTTCATTTCATTTAATTATATGGTACGTGTCATTTTTTATGTGGTACTTTTCATTTAATGAAAAGGAATTTGTTAATTCAAATATATGATGGTACATTTGATAATTGCTGGGGAAAATATTTACTCATTGCTGGCACACACACACACACAAATTCCCGCATTTGGGACCCAGCTCTATAAGATTTTAGACATGATACAAACTCACATTTTTTTCACGCCCCTGAACTATTATAATATTCTATTGACCTGCCCGCTTTGACACCGCAGATTTATTTCACGCACAACTTCTGAAAAACAAAACAAAATATTACACACCAAACGCACTTGCGATATTTGTTTTTAAAGAATCTCATTTAAAGAAGTTATCGGGAATTTTCCTTCATGTTCCCCTTGAAAAACAGGAAAAAAACTGATTTTTTTGAGTTGGGGTACGGCTAAAGATTAGACAGCGTGTGTTGTCATCGGCAACGAGTCTATTTGCCATGTTTCAGCTCGATAGCTCGACGGGAAGAGGTTCAATTAGCCGTCCGAAGATTTTCGCCAGCCAGCCACACACGAACAAAAGAGAAGTGGATAGATAGGATTTTAAAAAAAAAGAATTCCAAAGAACAAGCAATTGTTTCTGCCGTTCAACCGGATGTCTTTGAAGATTGACGAGCACGGCCTACAAAACCTAAAGCAGATGACAGATGGCAGATGGTGGTTTTTGTCATGCAAGGTCAGGTCTGCTCTTCTCCATGTCATAGCTGATGTTATCGTAGCCGATTTTGAGGCAACAGAATATTTGCCTTTTTGGAACTTGTCCGACGTTGTGCCGCGTTCAATAATCAGAACAACCTATCAACAACGACAGCCTAATCACAACAGCGACAGCCCAATAACAACAGCGACAGCCCAATAACAACAAGGACAGCCTAATCACAACAGCGACAGCCCAATAACAACAACGACAGCCCAATCACAACAGTTACACCCCATTAACAACAGCGACAGCCCTATAACAACAACGACAGCCTAATCACAACAGCGACAGCCCAACAACAACAACAACAACAACGACTGCCCAATGGCTGAGTTGATTAAAATCATCTCTGAACTATTAATCAGCTGATGTACGTGATGAATTGTTCAACAAATGAAATGGTTGACATTCTTGGGGAGAAAAAACAAATTAATGACTTAATCTCCTATCTACAGAAGATTTTTTTTAAAAACCAATGAATACCATCTCATAAAATGATGGCGCGTTCAACAATTTCTTGTATGCTCTGTATGTGTGTGTGTCTGTCTCTGTGTGTGCCTGTGCCTGTGTTTGTGTATGTGTGTGTGTCTGTCTCTGTGTGTGCCTGTGCCTATGTTTGTGTATGTGTGTGTGTCTGTCTCTGTGTGTGCCTGTGCCTATGTTTGTGTATGTGTGTGTGTCTGTCTCTGTGTGTGCCTGTGCCTGTGTTTGTGTATGTGTGTGTGTCTGTCTCTGTGTGTGCCTGTGCCTGTGTTTGTGTATGTGCGTGTGTCTGTCTCTGTGTGTGCCTGTGCCTGTGTTTGTGTATGTGTGTGTGTCTGTCTCTGTGTGTGCCTGTGCCTGTGTTTGTGTATGTGTGTGTGTCTGTCTCTGTGTGTGCCTGTGCCTATGTTTGTGTATGTGTGTGTGTCTGTCTCTGTGTGTGCCTGTGCCT